AGTGTTATTCATGGTTTTGTGACAGAGCCCTGACACTCCCGTCATGTCATTGTTTTCATGTGAGCGTGCGGCTTCTAGAGTGCTTGAGCCGTGCGCTCTCGTCTGCGTGTACTGTTTCATGTTGAAGTGTGGTGTTCAGATCCCGGCACTCATGTCTTGAGTTTCGGTTTTGTGTCAGGGTCCTGACACTCGCGCTCCATGTTCTGTCTGGTTGTGTGAGCGTGCGGTCTCGAGTTCGCTCGGCCGTGCGCTCTTCTGTCCACGTGTGTTGTGTTTTGTGTAGCACGCGGTTTGTGTTCAACCGGGTGCTTTTCTTGTTGTGTTGTGTTGTCTTGTGTGAACATGCGGCTTATGAGTTATCTCATTAGCTGCGTGTTCGCGTTTTGTTTTGTGTGAGCACATGGCTTTTGTATTTGTTTCCTGTGTGCCATGTGCTCTCATGTCAATTGCCTTGACCCCACCTATCTTGTTACCTGATTATTGGTTAATTTACCCCACATGTGTTCCCTCGTTACCCTCCTCATTTGCTCCCTATTTATTCTCCTTGTGTTTGCAGTCCCGTGCCAGTTCGTCATCGTATCACCATCGAATATATCCTGTCGTGGCATGTCCTGATCCTGCCTTGCCAGCCTGTTTTCCCCCACGGGGTAGTTTTTGTTGTTTATTTTGTTTTATTTGAATAAAAAGCCCTTATCTCCTGCACCATTGAGTCCTCGTCTCATCCCTTCATCCCCAACCCTGACAGTACGAACTGGCCAGTATGAGGACTCAGCGGAGGAAGGGCTTACGTCGTCCACCACCCTCCACTCTCTCCAGCCCCCTCTACCAATGGATCATCCAGTTCAAGGACCTGAGCTCCCTCCGTCAGTGGGGGACTGATGTGAGAAGGTCTGCTCTGGAGTTCAGTGGTGCTGCAGAGGGGTTGGGGTTCAACGATCTGGCCCTCAAGGACCTTTATAATAGTGCCCTTGATGAGCCCCTCAACTGGTGGCGAATGAGGGGGCTGGCCCACCTGACGTTTGGGGGGTCTGTGGAGTT